GTCCTTTGTATACTTTGATGCCACTCCCACGCTGAACAAATTGTCCGCGATTCATCTGGTGTGCCAACGCGTGTACCTACATGTTGCTTCTGCGTTAGTAGCGACGTCTGAAGTGAAGTGTCGTGACTAAACCAGTGTCTATCGTGACTAATTCAGTGTCTACCGTGACTAATCCAGTGTCTACAGTGACTAATCCAGTGTCCACAGTGACTAATCCAGTGTCTATCGTGACTAATCCAGTGTCTACAGTGACTAATCCAGTGTGGTGACGAGCGTGATTCTCTTGCCAGTGAAGGATCTCCAGGTATCAAACATGGACATATACTCTGTGTTGTCTGCCGAGACGAAGGCACTGGCGAGCTCCTCCTGGTTCCAACATGGGAGGAACAGGGAACTCAGGGAACTCAGGCGGGTCATGCCCCCTAGAGGAGTTCCAAAGAAGGTTATCCTGGTCGAACTTTTTCACATACATGACTTTTACACCATGAGAGCTATTCTCCAAAGTATTAGTTTCAGAACTAAAACATTTGGTGTGTGGATGTATTCTTACATGGTCGACCCTCATGAAAAATATTGGCGCAATTGCATAAAAAATCATGACTTGAGGCCGAACTATAAATACATCAGTGATTCGATTTTTTTCACATGCATGACTTTTACGCCATGAGAGCTATTTTCAAAAGTATTAGTTTCAGAACTAAAACCTTTGGTGTTTCGGATGCATTCTTACATGGTCGACCCTCATGAAAAATATTGGCGCAATTGCATAAAAAATCATGACTTGAGGCCGAACTGTTCCCATGGCAACAGCGAGTCTGCTGGTCCCGATCTCCGTGTTAAGGGCCATATCAAGGTCACTACCGTTTCCGCTGATGCCTACCGAAGCTAGCTTTCGTCCGGGGCTCCCACTGGCCACGTGCGCCTGTGTCGAGAGGTAGACGGCCTGGCGAGAAGCGTCGCCCTCAGGGAACAGCAGGATGCCACCGTCGTCCCTCAACAACATCCGGGACGTCATGTTGCCGTTGACGTCTGCCGCTGACAGCTGGATAGCAGAACACGGGACTGCGTCCTTACGTTACACGGTCACCCACATGTCGTTGCTCAGGCCCCGAAAGGCCTGGATGTAGGCGGAGTTGACCAACAACAGCACACGAGTGTTGTCCGTCGCTGTCATTGCTGTCTGTAACTGAACTGCCATTGCTGTCTGTGACTGAACTATCAGTGTTGCCAGGTATCTGTTCCGAGGCGTTGATGCAGGCATCACTAAAACAAAAGGAGTTTCATTGAAGACTATCATTGACCAAGGAGGTTCACTTAGTTCGGAACATATTACGGAGGAAGGAAGGCTCTGTATGACTGTTTGGCCCAGGTGAGTATTACTGTTAGACCCAGGTGTTTAATGACTGTTTGGACTAAGAGTATATGACTGTTTGGCCCAGGTGTGTATTACCGTTAGACCAAGGTGTATATGACTGTTTGGACTAAGAGTATATGACTGTTAGACTCAGGTGTGTATTACTGTTATTCCCATGTGTGTATGACTGTAAGACCAAGATGCAAATGACTCTTAGAGCCAGGTGTTTATGACTGTTATAGAAAGGTGTGTATAATTCTTAGACCCAGGTGTGTATTTACTGTTAGACCCAGGTGTGTATTTACTGTTAGACACAGGTGTGTATTTACTGTTAGACCCAGGTGTGTATTTACTGTTAGAGACAGGTGTGTATTTACTGTTAGACCCAGGTGTGTATTTACTGTTAGAGCCAGGTGTTTATGACTGTTATAGACAGGTGTGTATTTACTGTTAGACGTAATTGTGTATGACTGTTATAGACAGGTGTGTATTTACTGTTATAGCCAGGTGTTTATGACTGTTATAGACAGGTGTGTATAATTCTTAGACCCAGGTGTGTATAATTCTTAGACCCAGGTGTGTATTTACTGTTAGACCCAGGTGTGTATTTACTGTTATAGCCAGGTGTATATGACTGTTATAGACAGGTGTGTATTTACTGTTAGACCCAGGTGTGTATTTACTGTTCGAGTCAGGTGTATATGACTGTTATAGACAGGTGTGTATTTACTGTTAGACGTAGTTGTGTATGACTGTTACACTCAGGTGTGAATGGTTGTTAGACCCAGATACGTTGTTCAGTATTAAAATGAATAGTCTTTCAAAGGTTTTAAATCATTCATTTGACGGATCACTTTTTGTGGATGATTTTAACATATCATGTTGTAAAAACATGCATAGTATCGAAAGACAATTACAACTGTGTCTAAATGAGATAAATAAATGGTCGTTAGAAAATGGTTTTACATTTACGAAAACCAAAACAAATTGTCTACACTTTTGTAAGAAATGCAAACCGCATAAAGACCCTGATTTAATTTTAGATAGCACTCCTATTAAAGTTGTAAAAGAGGCTGAGTTCTTGGGCGTTATTTTTTACCACCATTTAACCATTTTACCACAAATACAATATTTGAAAAATAAATGCCTGAAGGCCCTTGACCTACTGAAAGTTGTTCAAATTCCAAGTGGGCAGGGGATCAGAAAACCCTCCTTCAACTGTACAGAGCACTTATTCGCTCTAAACTTGATTATGGCTCCATCATCTATGGTGCAATCTGATATTTCTGCTGCTTAAATAAATCTTGAAAATAAAGCCCCCACTCACCTTTTGTCTTCTCCACCATGGCAGTTAGTAAAACCAGAAGTTGATCTAACATTAACTAAACTAAAGAAATATGAAACAAATCAACTGATTTATCAACAACAATATAATGAATTAAGAAACTCATATGATACTTACAAATCTATATTTACAGATGGATCCAAGGATAGTGACGTTGTTGCAACGCCCACTCATTGGATCCAGGACTATCTCCTCCAGGTTACCCAATAATAGTTCTATTTTCACAGCAGAGGCCAGTGCCATTTAAACAGCCTTACAATATATTAGTATACAGTCAAAATATAAGAAGTTTATTGTGTTTTCCAATTCTTTTTCTTGCCTACAGGCCATTCATAACTTATCATGTCAACATCCACTGTTCATCAAAATTATTGAATTATGTAATGAACTTGCTACTGGCCAATTCGACATCGTCTTTTGTTGGTTACCCAGCCATGTTGGAATCTATGGTAACACAACGGCTGATGCTGCAGCTAAAGCAGCACTCAACAAATCTGTGACACCACTTTTGCTCCCATACTATGATTACAAGCCAGTGATCAGATCCTATATCCGTGATCTGATCCTATATCCATGATCTGATCCTATATCCATGATCTGATGCAAAAGAAGTGGGACACTCAAGTAGATATCAATATATTACATGAAATAAAACCAAATATCGGTAACAACTACTTGGGCCGTCAGTCCAGATTTGAAGAGTTCATAACACGACGATGTCGTACTGGACATAGCAGGTATACACATGATATTTGTTGAAAGAGGAGGATCATCCATTTAGTATCCCTTGTCATGAGACAATCAATATATCTCGAAATTACATTCTAATAACGCCAATCCAGCATATGACTGTGTTTTTAATCCCCTTTACCAAAATCTCTACAGTAACAAATAATCTCCTATCCCACCACTTGGAATAAGAATACAATCTCATATTTCTGTTGCTAAAATAAATCTTGAAAACAGCCCCCACTCAGCTTTTGTCTTCTCCACCATGGCAGTTAGTGAACCCTGAGGTGGACCTAACCTTAACTAAACTAAAGAAATCTGAAACAAATCAACTGATTTATCAACAACAATATACTGAATTAAGAAACTCATATGATACTTACAAATCTATATTTACAGATGGATCTAAATGGTAACACCGTTGCAAGTGCCACTGTCATTGGATCCAAGACTATCTCATCCAGATTACCTGATAACTGTTCTATTTTTACAGCTTAAGCCAATGCCATTCTAGTAGCTCTCAAATATATCAGTAAACAGTCAAAATATCAGAGGTTTATCATTTTTTCTGATAAAGCTGCCCTCAACATATCTGTGACACCACTTCTTATGCCAAACAGTGATTATAAGCCTGTTATTAGATGTTACATCAGAGATCTGATGCAGAAGAAGTGGGACACCCAAGTAGGTATCAATAAATTAAATGAAATTAGGATCTTTTTAGTAGAAAAAGTGCTCATTTAATCATGTCTTTTTTTTAAAGAAATAGAATTCATAGATAATTATGATTATAATATACATAGTATAAAGTAGGTGATACTTTTATTTGGTAGAATGAATTCCTACCTGAGATTGTTAGTGGCCGTCTCCCCAGGGGGTTGAAGTATCGTAAAACAATCGTCAACATGAGAGGGTACGTAAGTCCGGTATCATTCAGAGGATTTTTTCATTTCACTGTGATTTTAATCGCAGTATTTTTGTTGATTTTAACTGTTTGGTTAATCTTTCTGACCATCGCCAGTAGCCAGAGGGATGGTGTAAATCCTGCTGGGGTACCATGTAGGAAGCAGATGTACCGTTAGTCCCCAAGGTCCCGAGTAAGGTGGCCTTACTTTGGTTGCTGGCAATCTACAGCCCGTGTTTATAATGTGTCATCTGTTATAATGTGATCATTTTATTGTTCTAAAACAAGTTTTACAATTATAATCTGTAATATATTGCTGGTTGTTGTACAGTTGACAGTTTTTTTATACAAAATATAAATGCATAACTTGTTCAAGTCACGATATGGCTGAAATATTGCCAATGTGACCAGAAAAAAACTAAAAAAACTAAATAGAAAACAGACAACCAGGAACTTCTCTTCTTCAGAAATATTCCACCTTCTCCTCCTCTTCTGCAGGCTGAACTTCAGTCTTTATTTGACCAACTCCCTCAACCCCCTGTCATCATGCGTGACCTGAATGGTAACCCTCTGTGGGGAAGTGTTCACACCAATGCTAAGGGCAAGGTCCTTGAAGATTTTATAACAAACAATAATTTATGTACATTTAAGAGAAAACGGAAAATGGCATCTTTGAAATGACATCTTTATTGTACAACATAAGTTTTCCTTGTTTCGAGCCGATACAGTTTCACCGTCTACACAGTACACATCACACACTGTTTTCATCACACAATGGGCAGCCGAGTGAAGTGGACATCAAGGCTTCCCTCTCACATCATGCCAGAATTTCATCACAGCTTGACGTCTCCTCCAGACCACCTCCCTACCGTAGTGTGTGTACCACCTGTAACAGTGAACATATCACATGTACCTCCGTACCGTAGTGTGTGTACCACCTGTAACAGTGAACATATCACATGTACCTCCGTACCGTAGTGTGTGTACCACCTGTAACAGTGAACATATCACATGTATCTCCTGAAATATACAATGTATCAAGCATACCATATGCTACATACAGTCATGCCCCGCTTATACAAACTTCAGATATCCGGAAACCTCGTTTCCTGGACGATTTTCATTCATGTTATTGTACATGTAATCCCATTCGATAAATATGGCATCTGTGGAGGTCAGAGGTCAAAGTTGTGAATTCAAACTGTGAGTATGGCCTGTAAACCAGCAAAACGTGAGCGACACGCAGTTACAGCACGCGAAAAAAGGGAAATTTGTCTGTTTAAGGAAAAACACCCTTCAACAAGTTTGAAACCATCAGTAAGCATTATAGCCCTGAATTTGGACATACCATTGGAAAATCGAGAACACAGGCGATCTGGACAATTTGGAATTATTTTTTAAAATTCAAACCTCAAAATGTAGTAAAGTTCAAACTTCCATGACAGACTTTTTGAAACGTGTATGTCTTGAATAAAGATTGAGTGGATGTATCTGTTTGCTCTGTCATCTGTCATGAGTTGCATAATTGAAGGGAAGTAACTCTTCCAGTCAGAAACCGGTTTCTGTTATACGGAAATTCGTTTAAACGGACGAATTGTGAAATGACGCAAGTGTCCGTATAAACCAGGCACGGCTGTACATCATGTACCTCCGTAACATAGCTAAAGACCTAGTCCAAGAGATAGGGTATGCTTATTTACCCCAAAAGGTCCATATGGTTTGAATACTTGTAACATTTGCATTATGTCTGGGCTATTCAAAAACATATTTCTTACAAAATACATCTTCACCATTTTGCCACTAGGGGGTGTTAAAGGCATGACTCAGCACTTTTTCCTGAAGGTGACAGTATGTTTTCAGAGATGATCAGGATAGGTATGTGTTACCTTTAGTGGTCAAATTCTATGTTAAATCAAACCAATTCTACCCCGGACTCTTCACGGTTCCATATTACATGTACCTCCTGGAATATACAATATATCATGTATACCACATGGCACATACATCATGTACCTCCTGGAATATACAATATATCATGTATACCTCATGGCACATACATCATGTACCTCCTGGAGTATACAATATATCATGTATACCTCATGGCACATACATCATGTACCTACTGGAATATACAATATATCATGTATACCTCATGGCACATACATCATGTACCTCCTGGAATATACAATATATCATGTATACCACATGGCACATACATCATGTACCTCCTGGAATATACAATATATCATGTATACCTCATGGCACATACATCATGTACCTCCTGGAATATACAATATATCATGTATACCTCATGGCACATACATCATGTACCTCCTGGAATATACAATATATCATGTATACCACATGGCACATACATCATGTACCTCCTGGAATATACAATATATCATGTATACCACATGGGACATACATGATGTACCTCCTGGAATATACAATATATCATGTATACCACATGGGACATACATCATGTACCTCCTGGAATATACAATGTATCATGTATACCTCATGGCACATACATCATGTACCTACTGGAATATACAATGTATCATGTATACCTAATGGCACATACATCATGTACCTCCTGGAATATACAATATATCATGTATACCACATGGGACATACATGATGTACCTCCTGGAATATACAATATATCATGTATACCACATGGCACATACATCATGTACCTCCTGGAATATACAATATATCATGTATACCACATGGGACATACATGATGTACCTCCTGGAATATACAATGTATCATGTATACCTCATGGCACATACATCATGTACCTACTGGAATATACAATATATCATGTATACCACATGGGACATACATGATGTACCTCCTGGAATATACAATGTATCATGTATACCTCATGGCACATACATCATGTACCTACTGGAATATACAATATATCATGTATACCATATGGCACATACATCATGTACCTCCTGGAATATACAATGTATCATGTATACCTAATGGCACATACATCATGTACCTCCTGGAATATACAATATATCATGTATACCACATGGGACATACATGATGTACCTCCTGGAATATACAATATATCATGTATACCACATGGCACATACATCATGTACCTCCTGGAATATACAATATATCATGTATACCACATGGGACATACATGATTTACCTCCTGGAATATACAATGTATCATGTATACCTCATGGCACATACATCATGTACCTACTGGAATATACAATGTATCATGTATACCTCATGGCACATACATCATGTACCTACAGGAATATACAATATATCATGTATACCTCATGACACATACATCATGTACCTCCTGGAATATACATCATGTACCTCCTGGAATATACAATGTATCATGTATACCTCATGGCACATACATCATGTACCTCCTGGAATATACATCATGTACCTCCTGGAATATACAATATATCATGTATACCACATGGCACATACATCATGTACCTCCTGGAATATACAATGTATCATGTATACCACATGGCACATACATCATGTACCTCCTGGAATATACAATGTATCATGTATACCACATGGCACATACATCATGTACCTCCTGGAATATACAATGTATCATGTATACCACATGGCACATACATCATGTACCACCGTACCGTAGCGTGTGTACCACCTGTAACAGTGTACATATCACATGTACCTCCTGGAATATACAATGTATCATGTATACCACATGGCACATACATCATGTACCTCCTGGAATATACAATGTATCATGTATACCACATGGCACATACATCATGTACCTACTGGAATATACAATGTATCATGTATACCACATGGCACATACATCATGTACCTCCATACCGTAGCGTGTGTACCACCTGTAACAGTGTACATATCACATGTACCTCCTGGAATATACAATGCATCATGTATACCACATGGCACATACATCATGTACCTACTGGAATATACAATGTATCATGTATACCACATGGCACATACATCATGTACCTCCTGGAATATACAATGTATCATGTATACCACATGGCACATACATCATGTACCTCCTGGAATATACATCATGTACCTCTTGGAATATACAATATATCATGTATACCACATGGCACATACATCATGTACCTCCTGGAATATACAATGTATCATGTATACCACATGGCACATACATCATGTACCTACTGGAATATACAATGTATCATGTATACCTCATGGCACATACATCATGTACCTACTGGAATATACAATGTATCATGTATACCACATGGCACATACATCATGTACCTCCTGGAATATACAATGTATCATGTATACCACATGGCACATACATCATGTACCTCCGTACCGTAGCGTGTGTACCACCTGTAACAGTGTACATATCACATGTACCTCCTGGAATATACAATGTATCATGTATACCACATGGCACATACATCATGTACCTCCTGGAATATACAATGTATCATGTATACCACATGGCACATACATCATGTACCTCCTGGAATATACAATGTATCATGTATGCCTCATGGCACATACATCATGTACCTCCTGGAATATACAATATATCATGTATACCTCATGGCACATACATCATGTACCTCCTGGAATATACAATGTATCATGTATACCTCATGGCACATACATCATGTACCTACTGGAATATACAATGTATCATGTATACCACATGGCACATACATCATGTACCTCCTGGAATATACAATGTATCATGTATACCTCATGGCACATACATCATGTACCTCCCGGAATATACAATGTATCATGTATTCCTCATGGCACATACATCATGTACCTACTGGAATATACAATATATCATGTATACCACATGGGACATACATGATGTACCTCCTGGAATATACAATATATCATGTATACCTCATGGCACATACATCATGTACCTACTGGAATATACAATGTATCATGTATACCACATGGCACATACATCATGTACCTCCATACCGTAGCGTGTGTACCACCTGTAACAGTGTACATATCACATGTACCTCCTGGAATATACAATATATCATGTATACCATATGGCACATACATCATGTACCTCCTGGAATATACAATATATCATGTATACCACATGGCACATACATCATGTACCTCCTGGAATATACAATATATCATGTATACCACATGGCACATACATCATGTACCTCCTGGAATATACAATATATCATGTATACCACATGGCACATACATCATGTACCTCCTGGAATATACAATATATCATGTATACCATATGGCACATACATCATGTGCCTCCTGGAATATACAATATATCATGTTTACCACATGGCACATACATCATGTACCTACTGGAATATACAATATATCATGTATTCCACATGGCACATACATCATGTACCTACTGGAATATACAATGTATCATGTATACCTCATGGCACATACATCATGTACCTACTGGAATATACAATGTATCATGTATACCTCATGGCACATACATCATGTACCTACTGGAATATACAATGTATCATGTATACCACATGGCACATACATCATGTACCTCCTGGAATATACAATGTATCATGTATACCACATGGCACATACATCATGTACCTCCGTACCGTAGCGTGTGTACCACCTGTAACAGTGTACATATCACATGTACCTCCTGGAATATACAATGTCTCATGTATACCACATGGCACATACATCATGTACCTCCTGGAATATACAATATATCATGTATACCTCATGGCACATACATCATGTACCTCCTGGAATATACAATATATCATGTATACCACATGGCACATACATCATGTACCTCCTGGAAGATACAATGTATCATGTATACCACATGGCACATACAT